AGAATATTATACTTTCTAAATATTTTACTTTAGAACACTGTTTTCTAAAGAACACATTTCATAACTCCAGCGGACCCAAGGGGACCTAAAGAAAAAGCCCCTATTTTCTAGTTAGTTATAAGAATTGATATATTTTTAATACTATATAAAAATATAAATTTATAATAATAAATGATATTAAATAAATAAATATGTATAATATTATGTGTAATTTTTTAAATAAAAAAAATTGATTATGTAATAAAATATTATAATTATAAATTTATAATATATTATATAATATTATAAGTATAATTTTTCCAATTTGTTATATCTCAAAAAATTCATCATGCAACCATCAACTTGTATCTCAGTCTAACCATCATTATGTAATCCCAATCCCTAAATCCTGATGAGAAATGCATGTACTTTACATTTTATTGTTTTTAATTAAGGATTTCATTTTATTGCGGCAAAGAGGTGATTGATTCCCATCGGATAACGCTAAATTCAATGAATCGAGCCAAGATAAAGGGTACCTGAAAAAGGAGGGAGGTTGGAGACAGTTGGCTTTTTTTTCTTGAGATTTCCTAATATGTGTGCAAGTTAAATTTTATTTATTATAATATTTATAAATTTTTATAAATTTCAACATTTAAATTCTGATTATTAAAGTTTAAAATTTTAAAATCCAAAACTCGATCTAAAATTATGAAACCTAAAAAAGAGGGTCAAATTAAAACTTGAAAAAAAGAGTCAAATTAAAATGCCACTTAAAAATATTGCGGTTTTAAATTGATCAAAAAAATATTAAATATTAAATTTTAGTCCAAATTTAAATACTAAAATTCTAAATCATAAATTTTAAAAACTTCAACCTTTAAATTTTTATTATTGAACTCTAAAATTTTAAAATCCCAAACTCTAAAATTATAAAACTAAATACTAAATCCTAAAACTCTAAATTTAAATTTTTAATTTTACAAGTTAAATCTTAAATATTAAAACATAAAATTGTTCCTCTTAAATTCTAAAAAATTTAGGCTTAAAAATAATAAATGCTTAATTTGAAAAGTAGTATAGTAAAAAATTCTAGTAGTTTTTCTTTTATTATTGTAAATTAAATATTTTAATGTATACTTTTCTTATATAATTTAACCCAAATAATCTATCTGTTTAGTTAATTTTTGGTTTAAAATGATATTTAAATTAATAAAAAATAGCGGCAAATGTGTACTAAAGGTATTGTAGTCAAGTAGCATTAGTTAACCTTTTTTGGATTTGAATTTTTTTTTTTACCGTAATCTTGGACTTTGATAATAACTCATCTCATTAAACAACAACATAAGAAATATTCTATTGTAAAAAAGTTACTAAATAAGGAAAGTTTTCCCATATCTCAAAAAAATCATAAATTAAGAATTGTATAAAAATTTAGCACATGACATGATTTTGCTTCATCAGTTTCTCCCTTAATAGATAAATAAATATAAAATAAATTTCTGTTGTAGCATGACTAAATAGTTGATTCAAACAAAAAAAAAAAAAGGTTCGTCTAACATGTGCTTTAAAAAAGTCTTAATTGCATTTTTTGTAATTTATTTATATAGAAAAATAAAAGTTGACTTTAAATTTATCAACTACCCAATTAAAATCATTTAAATAATATTGCTGTTAAAAATAATATCTTCCTTTTACACTTTTCTATAAAACTTTATTATAAAATGATACATTTAATACACTTTAACTTGTATTTTAAGGGTACAAGTTAGATAAATCAAAAAAAAAAAAAAACCAAATAAAAGATAAAAAGCATCAAATCTAATCAAATTTAATACAATTAATTGGATGAAACTTAGAATTAAAAAAGAAATAAGTACAGTTTTATGAAATTGTATTAATAAAACTTAAGTGATATAACATAAAAGGGGTGGGTTATTGTTATATTCTAAATAATTAATATCATATCATTTTAATGTAATTATCTATTATATCCTTAAGTTATATTTTTTCTTAAAATTTTATATTTTTTTGTTTCTTAATAAATTAAAAAATATGATAGTCAATTAAAATAAAAAAATGTGATATTAATAATCGAGAATGTGATAAAAACATCACCCTATAAGAGGGGGAAAATAGGACTTTTCTAAGCTTGATTTTGTATATATTTAAGTTTAAGACTTTTCTACTAATATTGCTATTTTTTTAAGCTTAATTCTTTTTACATGAGTAACTCTAATATAATATTGTTGAAAAAAAAAAAAAAACTTCACGTTTTCTTTAATTTTACAAATATCATATAGTTACTATTCTTATTTTATAAAATAATATTAATAAAACTTCAAAAATATAATATAAAAGGTGTAGGTTTATTGTCACATCTTAAAGAATTAATGCTATATTATTTTAATATAATTATTTATTTTACCCTTATGCTACATTTTTCTCAAAATTTTATATTTTTTGTTTATTAATAAATTAAAAAGTATAATAGTTAATTAAAATTAAAAAAATAACATTAGTAATTTAGAGTATAACAATAACATTATTTCAGAAGAGAGAGAAAAGAGGATTTTTTTATGTTTGTTTTTGTATGCATTTAAGTTTAGGATTTTTCTACCGATATTGTTGTTTTTTCATACTTTAATTTTTTTCACATGAGTAGTTCTAATATTGTTAAAAAAATAAAGTTTTATATTTTTTTAATTTTATAAATATCATATAATTATTATTTAAATTTAAATATTATTGTATTAATTATTATTAGTTATTAATTACTTAAAAACGGGAAATGGAATCGTTGCAAGAAGTGGCCAAGAGAAAGGGGGAAAAAGGGAAAAAAAGTTCCGAGTGTTCTTGGAAAAAAAAAGTGCAGCCAACGAAATGTATTATTGTACAATTTAAATGTATAGTTATAATATATTAATTAATAGTAAAATAACTCATTAAATAATATAATTTTTTTATTTCAATAATAATAATCACATTTAAAAAAAATTTTAAAAATAAATATTTACCCAAAAAAAATCAAGTCACACGTAAAAAAAAATTCAAAAGATATATAAAGATGACACGTGATCAACCTTTTTTTCAATGTTTGTCCTTTATAATATATAATAAAGATATTTTATTGCGGCAAAGTGGTGATTTCCATTGGATAACGCTAAATTCAATCAGAATCTAATGAGTGGAGCCAAGCTAAAGGGCACATGAAAAAAGACGTTGCAGACAGTTGGCTCTTTCTTTCTTTCTTTCTTTCTTTCTTCTTCTTTTTTTTTTTTTTTTTTAAGGAACATAGAGAATTACCATATTAATAAAGAAACCAAGATTACGTAGAATCCTACGTAGAGATCGCGGCAGCCAAAACGAAGCTATACTTATTGCACTATCTATAAAAAAAAATTTGTTCCCGACAAATTTCAACAATTAAGCGAAAAGGATAATTTATAATTAAAAAATGTGTTTTTTAATTGCTTCCTTAAATTTTTTTAAAAATAATACGTCTAAAAATTTATTTTTTATTTATATTTTTAGAAATTAATTATTAAATTAAAATTTTTATTTATATAAATTATATATTTTTATATTAATTTAATAAGTATAATTAATTTATTAATTACATAAAATTTATATTGTTAAATACTTAAAAATTTTTATTAATTTAAAAATTATAAATATTAAATTACTATAAAATTTAACATATGTAATTTACATATATAAAACTTCAATTTAATAATTAATTTTTAAAAATATTAATAATTAATCAAATTTTAAACAAATACTCTAAAAAGTTTTTTGGGAGGACGAGTACACTACACCAACCCCTTACGATTATAGATCGTATACACAATCGCCATCAAGGCTTAAACAGAGCTACCCAGACGTTAACCTTGCATTTTTGACTATCCCATCAGCATCCTCAGCTACTACTCAATCCGGACAACCGTGTCAACTTTACCCTGTGCCTTGGGAAAGGCTGCAGTACGCTGCAAATTCCAAGCAGTGTCCGCCATATATGTTTCGTTTAAACCATTGAAATAACTGATCATTTTCCCTTCCTCTCCATCATAGCTCCCTGCAAAGACCTATGGTGGAGAGTGTGCTGATCTAATACTCCCATGGGTACGAATTCCGAGGAGTCTATTCTGCTTCATGGTGATCTAGAGAATCATTGCAGCGAGAGCCTTAGGCAAGTCGTCTGAGGTAGATATCAGTAGCGGGGTTACCGCTTCGGTAGCTGAAACTATCGTGACTCGCACGCGTACCAGTTCTAACTCCAGTGACTCTCAACAGGGCGAGCACTTCAATATTCTTCTTGCACATCCCGTAGTCGACCTCGAACTCAAAATTAAAGAGGGTTCAAAAGTCCGTGGTGGGAAAGGCATCAAGGGTACCGTTAAGATTCCGGCTAGGAGAATCATCACCGGTGAGATAATCAGAGAATGGTATCCGGTGGAACATGTCAAGGGAGATCGATGCAAGAATTTGGATCTTGATATTGAGATGAAATTCACGCCATGCGATCAAAATCCACTTTATGATCAAGGCATCGCCGGCGATCCAGAACAGGCCGGCATGAGGAACACGTATTTCCCATTGAGGGAAGGGAATAAGGTGAAGCTGTACCAAGACGCTCATGTGCCTGAAGAAATGTCGCGTGAAATTGAACTGGTACGGGGAAGATTTTTTGAGCATCCCTAGTGTTGGGAGGACATTTGCCATGCTATATCAGAGGCTCAGCATCTGATATACATAGTAGGTTGGTCAGTGTCCTGTGATATAAAGCTTGTTAGAGAGCCGACCCGACCATTGCCTCGAGGTGGGGATTTGACGCTTGGTGAATTGCTGAAGTCCAAATCAGAAGAACGGGTTCAAGTTGTGGTGTTGATATGGGATGATAAAACTTCATATGATATATTTGGGATCGAAATGGTGAGAGCAAGTCCAACATAATTATTTGTTTCTTTTTCTCTTTTTGTTTTTTTCTTTTTGTTGGGTATTTTATTTTTTAAAGATAATTCTAATAATGAATGAGGAAGTCTAAAAATTGTGCTGATTACAACGTGTAATTTTCAATGGACGCAGAGAGGAGTGATGCGGACGCATGATGAAGAAACGAGAAAATTTTTCGAGGATTCATCTGTTATTTGTAAGCTGGTTCATCGTCAGGCAAGCAAGTCTCATAATTTTTTTACACGAGCTGTAAGTTCTATATAATTGATTGTTATTGTCTTTTTTTTTTTTTTTTTTTTTTTTTTTTTTGGCACTTAACATTCATGTAGTAGATTTCATTGGTGGGTTTAATTTGGCATTGCAGTCATTGTGTTCGCCTTATAACTTGTTTCAGAATTTGAAAATTCTTCATAAGAACTAAGAAACGTTTGGAAGTTACTTCTGTGGTGGTTTTGCACAGCGCAATGGGATCATATTCTCAAATCATCAAAAATATGTTCTAGTCGACACACAGGCAGCTGACCATAGTCGAAGGATAACTGCATTCCTAGGCGGTCTTGATCTCTGTAAGGGTCGTTATGATACACTTGAGCATCCGTTGTTTCGTGGCCTTGCCACCATTTTTAAGGATGATTTTCATAATCCTACATTTCCTGTGAGTAATTCCTATCTTTGAATTTATTTTATGCACTCTGCTATAGAAAATGACCTTCCTACGTTCTAGTATTTTTTTTGGTCGATTCCTAAGTTCTAGTATTAGTAAAGCATCTTATAGAATATATTCTTGTATATAAGGCGATGAAGGAGAGAGCTCTAATTTTGTTCTATTCTACTGCTTAACTCAACTTCTATTGTCATGGTTTGTTTTATGGTGACATTTCTGCAATTTCTAATGCAGTATCTGAATTTAAAAAACTGGAAGATGTTAATAAAAATGGAGAGAAATTCGTTATATTTCTATTTATAATTACAATATTGATCTAGTAAATCTAGAAGTTACTGATCTTGTGAATCTAGGAATTCATAGTGGTAATTTACTTTCCTTAATAGTAACAATCCTAGTTGGCACTAGTATAAATATTTGTTATTAGAACAATTATGTGTTAGCCCCTCGCCTAGAGCCGTTGAGCATGGGTGCCTATTGAAAAATTAATTAAAAAATTGAAAGAGAATCTTGGGGGAATCTTTGGAAGACACACTAGCAGGGATTCATAGGAGAAGGGGTATTTAATCGGTTAGTAGATCTCAATTTTTTGGTGAGTCAAATCCAAATAATTGGTATAAAAAATACGAGGAGTTTAAATTTTTACAAAATATATTGAGAATAATTGAAAATGATTGAAGTATAACTCTTTTATACAACCTTATATGTTTAATAATGAACTTTTTTTACTCTACTAAAATTTATGATATTATATGTATCCATTCATTTAATAATACTATGTGTAAAAGTTATAAATAAAAATTTTACAAAAAAGTACCATATCATTACCCTTCTCATAACAGCTACCATATGTATTTCTTGTGGTTCTATGATCTCAGCTCAACTGTTTTTTTTAATTGACTATTTGACATAAATCTGTGCCTATTATTCTTAATTCTAACCATAAATGATTGCTCAACATGTTTGGAAACCATTTAAAAGGAGGGATCACAGTATGTTGAGCATGCTACTCATTGAGAAATACCACTATTTAAACAAAAATACGATTATATAGCAATGCAAGTGTTGGAATAGGCCTAGCAGGCCCAACGCCCAAACAGGACTATGCATAACGGGCCTAGAGTACCACCTATTAGCCCAAGCTGAAGGAGCATCGGTACAAGCATACCCACGTGACCAGCACCACGTGGGCCAATAGGCTGCTTACACGTGTAGATGTATGTCAGCACCAAGGGGCTATAAATACCCCCCAACTACCTCCGATGAAGGTAATTAATCTCTACGCTTCTCTCTCTGCAATTACTCCTTGAGAGCCTCTCTCTCTAAAGTATTGAGTATTGCTGACTTGAGCGTTGGAGTGTTTTCCCCGAGGAAACAACCTCGGGATTTTCAGGTGTAGAAGCAGCTGAGGACTTCAACAGTGTTGGGCTGTGAAGCTGCCGAAACATTGGCGCCGTCTGTGGGAAATCGAACAAAAAGCTGTGTGACTTAACCTGCTGAAAGACAAAATGGTCCGTACCTTTACAGGAGGACGCCCTCCAAGAAATGAAATAGACGAACAGGAGGACGATCACGTATCTGAGGCCGACTTGAATGACTTTAGGCCGATGCCAAGAAATCTTTTTGTAGGAGGAGCCGAACAGGATCACCTAAGTGAGACGGATGATGAAAGAACACCAACTGGGTATGTAACCCAGCCTGAACAGTTCCAAGCTCCAACAGGAACGAGACAAAGATCTGCCAGACCGAACAATTCACAGCGTGAACGACCTGAAAGGTCAACAGAACCTGCTCGGACAACCGAGCTCGAAGAGAGAACCAGGGTTCTCGAAATGGCAATGGGAAGAATCCTTGCCCGCTTAATCCCTGATGACCCCCTGATT